TACTGGTGCTATTGTGAAAATAGACTATTAGAATGTTTTGCATGAACTGGGAGCTGCAAGGTACAAGTTCAAGGTACTAGGTTATTATAAAGAGCAAAAAGCATATTCAAACAGCTGAAAATGGTATGTAGTGTTTTTTTTTGTTTTTGTTTTTTGCTTTTCGCGCGAAACCGTGTAAATGATTTTCGTGATTTTTTCTACCAACAATTCAAAAAACAAAGGCAAAATAAGCCCACTATAGCCCTATAACTGGGAAATCAACGCCCATTTTGTTCAATGAGCCTTTGATACTCGTGTACATACAGTGTACAGTGATCGTCCCATGCCCAACTACGAAGAAACGTTTTTCTAGCTTCGTGTAGCGAGCAAGACTATAAACGATATGCTTATTTTAAACTTACCAGTGTTTTTGGGAAAACATGCCCGCCACATTTCGTTGCTATCAGTTGAAACGGTCCAAAGATGCTCGGAAGAGATGTATTAATCTCATGAGTCCAAAATATGGATTTTCGTCGAGAAATTATCTGGGACTTTTTCTCGTCGATCTGGGACTTTTTTGCCATTTTTTGCCAGGCCTCGCGCTATCGCGCTCGGTTCCAAGCCTCCTCTGATCACTCGGATAGCGCGAACAGGCCTGGGTAAGAGGCTGAAGAGTTTTAAGTTTTCTCCACTGCGCCACCCTTGCTCCCCAAGTTTTTCTCTGTAAGCACAGGGGAAAGTATTCTTGTTTTTTGTTTCATCGATAATGAGCTAACGTTCCGTTTTGCAGAACATGATTGATGGTACAACCTTTCTGGGGAGGGGGGGTGATGGGCGTGGTGAGTACAGCCCTGAATCAAGGAAAATGAGCATCGTACAACGGAGTTGCGCTGGAAAAGCATTGAACGTAAGAATTTCATAATATTTAAACACAATTAAAAGCCTTTAATGCCTGTCCTTAATGCGGCGATGCAGTCATTCTTTCTAGATGAAACAAAACAGTGAAAACCTTTAGTCAAGGAGAAATCTTCTTGGGTTTATTTTTTGTTACCTCAGAATGCATATCGCCTTGCGTGAATTATTTTTAAGATATACTTAGATCATACTTCGTTAGATCCCTGATATTAATAGTAACAGGTACCTAAACTCGTCACAGTTGCAAAATGTGAGTAGTTTCAAACTTATTATTCCAATATTTGCTTCGACTGCAGGTTTCATAAACCAGTCATTGTGTGAATCACATAAGCGTATTTAATTCAATAAATACGGGCTTAGTGGACAAAACTCAAATAAGGATACGGTTTCCATTCAGCATAAACATTTGGTTTCTGAAATTTCTTGTGAACAATCTTGGTCGTTGCAAATGGAGGCCGATGCGAATTGGAATAACAAAAATGGGGCAACCAGGGATATTGTAATGGCCGATATAAAATATTCGAATATCGTTTTAAAGTCGACAATGACATCATCAGTTTTTTCTTAAGCTTACAAATTCAATGTCTGCTGTCCACTTGTCCACTAAGCTGAAGAGTGACGTTATGATAGTTACTTTTTTTTTATGATGTTCCAGACACTATGAATGTACATGGTATTTATGACAAAAAAGGCAGTATGATTACGTTTGGAAGCCGCTCCGAGTTTCAGACCTTTCTTTAACAGGAAGCTGGTATACCAGACTCATATTTTGGCTTTTACACAGGCGTAAAAATCGGCTTAGGGCGAGTCATTAACAGGTAAAAATGACCAGACTTCCATCTTTTTTATATCTTTTTATTATTCTTATGCACTTTGTATAGTACAAATTACACCAAAAGAGAGTACAAATCTGGATTTGTACTCCAGAAGACCAGTTTTACGAGTTTTCTACAAACTTCGCACATGGTGGAAATATATAATTTTAATTTTTGGGCAATTTTGTTGTGTTTCTAGCTAAAAAGTCACTTACGCCCTTTCGCTCTCAACGTTGACAATTCAATTGCAACATATATTGTGAATTGCAGATATGAAGTCGTTCTAGACGAAGTCAAACCCCAAGACTTAAGTTTCTCATTTTTAAAAGAGTTTATGGAGCTGCCGACATCTTACTTTGCCGCGGGAGCGCCACTTAATATCGTGAGTACGTCCTCAGTGGCATGAGATACATGTTGTGCCAACTGAGAAAACGCCTCATTAATTCACTTATTTACAGTGACTGCATTATAAATCTCAAGAGATTTTACACAGTCTAGAAGCTTCCATTTAAACTATGCTGCAGCCATACTGCTTTATAATATATAGATTTAGCCAGGGCTAAAAGTGAAGCCTCCGGTTCTATACTTACGATAAAAGCAATCAAATTTGAACTAATAACATGAACTCTAAGCCAAAAGAAGGAAATAAGGAGCCTTCGGCATCAGTTCAGTGCTGTTCACGTTTAGAGGGAGGGGCAAAGTGATTAAGAAAAAATATCCCGCAATCAAACCTGAATTGAAAAAAGTGTGAAATTGTAGGTCTCTTCAGCAGCCATTATGGATCTTGGTAACAGCAATTTACGGGTTACGATTTCTAGGGTCAGTATTTCTGTCTTAAAGGGAAGACTTCAAAGGAAAATTAGGCCGACTTAGGGACTTTTGTGTTTCTCGTAAGCCCATTATATTTTCTTTTCATTTTTTTTTGTTAACGGGCCCCGGACGAACTGTTACGTGCAGTTTTTACATTTACACAGCCTCGCAATATCTGACAGAAAGTTTTATCATAAGGTGTATATTTTCTTTGTGGGACAGACAGAGGGAAACAAACGATAACCTTTTTCGCTACATATAACTATTTTCCAATCTTTAACCTACTCAAAATGTCCGGTTCGTGTTCAGTTTAATTTCTATTCAATTCAATTTTATTCACACTTTTGTAAAATATTTACATTGTGTATGGTAAGGTAGGAATACACTAACAAAGAAGAAGAAGGAAAAAAGATAATTAATGGCTTGGATAGAAGTGTAAGGTGGTGAGAGGAGCTTAGCTTTCCAGCTAACCACCGCTATATTATGAGTCGAGATACATAAAAACTGTGCGCTTGATGCCATGGCAACTATGGACGATTATGTCAGTAGTCATGTTTAATATGTGAAACAGTCATATTACATTGTACATTGTTTACCTTTGAGAGTTAACTAGAATTCGCTTATATTCTTTTTTGAACTTATGGTAGCTAAGTGTTTTTATCTTGGTAGGAATCTCTTCCCAAGGTTTGGTTATGGCAAACTTAAATGTGTATTTGTCGTAATTTGACCTTACACGTGGTACATGGAAGTTCAGGTGTTGTGCAGTGCATTGCTGAGAAAAGTGCGGTAAACTTAAGTTAATTACACTGCGAGTTATAAACGTTTATAATACAGCAACTTTAATACAACTTAACAAAAACAAACAAACAAACTCGGGCTCGAAAAGTCGACGAGTCTGTCGTTAGAATAGAGGAGAACTCTTTCATATTTTAGATAAGCTCACTTTTTCAGTGAGAATATAAGGCCGTAAACAAACAACTGAAAACAAACTTCATCCAAGCGGTTTCAGCTGTATTCAGGGCACGAGTGATGAAAAAACAGCAGCACGCTGCAAAATTCTTGAATGGCAAGTAATGAAGAAGTAAATGAAGAGCAATCCAATGGAAGATGTACAAAAACAACACTTTAGTCAATTCAGGAATGAGAAAAACACGTCTGAAGTGTTTCAAAAAATCTCACGATCTGTAGTCTCACGATCGTGTTTGGAGCTAATGGTTTGAATGAACAATGACTGATAAATAACTTAATTTCTTGAAAATTTTTATTCATAAACCTATAAAGTCCATGAACCAGGACCCAAAATTTAACATTTTGGTACCACTTTCACGGACTATATGTCTTACTCGTTTTGGCAAAGAAGCATTTCTATAGATTCTAAAAAACACTGATGGACGTGCATGCGTTGTAGCTTAAGGCGAAAGTGGATATGCTTTTAATAACCTTCCAGAAGAAGCAGTATTGGCAGGACAAAAGGGGCCTACAACAATTTCAAAGCACTACAACTGAAAAATGACACATTTACAGCCATTGTATTTCATTTATCACATAAAGCCAAGTGTTAAGGTTTCAAATTATCACTGTTTCCATGACAACCAAAAAGTCAGCAACAAAAGGGAGGTCTAATAATATATTTTCGGCTGCTTGTTGCCTCATTTTGCTTTCCGAATCCCACTTCACTTATAAAGTACGATTACGTCTACTTCCGTAAGAAAAAAGTCCTTCCAGTTTTTCTTCTCACTTTGAGAGATTAATAAGGAAGGAAAACTTTGAAAGCGTACGCACGAGACAAATAACGTTGTCCTACATAAGCCTCACTATCCGAAAATCATTCTTTTCTAAATTTGGTAACTAAACAGTGTTTCATCGCTACCTCAGCCAAATCCGACTTTATCGTGTGACCTACCTGCCAAGTCCCTGCTACTCCTCGGAGTTATACCACAAGTTAATCCTTGTCATCTGAGCTATACTCTGAATCACAATCTTGAACCGTAGAGTTATTTTCTTGCCAAACAATTTTGTACTGAGTGTATGCGACTTGCTAATCTTTGTCCTACTATTGCCAAGTGGTCATTGAAAATATTAGGTATACGTGTCAGGTCATGGGTTGCTTTGTCATTGTTTTTGTAATTCTTAAGTGAGTTAATTGATTTAGACTTTTTGTTTTTACGATTTAACAAATTAATTATTTCTTTCCGGGTTTTTTTCATATTCTTAAAATTTTCGTTAAAGGACTCAAAGGAGAACTTTTTTTGCTCAGTGTTAAGTTGCAGAGTTTAGAACTTATATTTAGCTTCATCGCCAGATAAATATAACCTGTTTTTAATGAAATTAAAATACAAAAACAAAGAAACACACTAAAAGGGAAAGAAAACAAAAAAATAAAGGGAAGTTACTTACATCAGCATACGTGATACTAATTTACATTTAACAATTATTCGCCAAAGGCGAAGTTAATATTGTTGAATGATCCATTAATTTTAATTTTGTTTTTTTAAATTCAATATTTATCCAGGGGCATCCAATTTAGCAGAGCTAGTTTAAATGGAGCCCAGACACAACACAAAAACAAAGACATTAAAACTAGACAATTAGTTAAGTTACAAAGACAACATGTGCCGCAGGGGTTACTGTTTAAAATGGCGCTTTAGCTTGATTTTGAATTCACTGAGGGTACCTGTTTAATGATTCTCGGTAGGGTGTCGTAGGTCCGAGCACTAGTGAGCAGCATACGTACACGTCCAGTGAAAATTGTCACTTGGAAGAAGGAGAAACCATGCTCGCCCGTGGCAACGAAAATTTTAATTTTAATTTAATTTTAATGATGCACTAGTGAGTAGCACACTTACACTTCCAATGAAAATTGTTCACTTGGAAGAAGGAGAAACCATGCTCGCCCGGGAGCAAGAATCGAACTCGCGACCCTCCGAATACTAGATCGGACGTTCTAACTACTGGACCACCAGGGCTCTAGCGTTGGTGAAGTCGGAATTCTACTATGCCAGCAGAGTGTACAAGACTTCTGTACTGGGAGCTGAGTGCACTGCACTTCTATGCTCCCTTTTCCGTGTGGGTTCTTCTAGTTTTCAGTTAATTTTAATGATGCACTAGTGAGCAGCACACGTACAGTTCCAGTGAAAATTTTCACTTGGAAGAAGGAGAAACAATGCTCCCCCGGGGCAACGAAATTTTTCATTTTAATGATGCACTTAGTGAGCAGCAGACGTACACTTCCAGTGACAAATTTCACTTGGAAGAAGGAGAAACCATGCTCGCCCAAGGCAACGAAATTTGTTTTGATTTTAATTTTAAGGATGCACTAGTGAGCAGCACACGTACTCTTCCAGTGAAAATTTTCACTTGGAAGAAGGAGAAACCATGCTCGCCCGGCGCAAGGAAAATTTTTTGTGCCCCGGGCGAGCATGGTCTCTCCTTCTTCCAAGTGAAATTTTACACTGGAAGTGTACGTGTGCGGCTCACTAGTGCATCATTAAAATTAAAATTAAATTTATTCAGCAATATTAACTGAGCCTGAGGTGAATAATTAGTGTAGTATATTCACACGAAGTAATCTCAACAGAACAGAAAGGGAACCATTACAAAAACGATTAGTTTGATTGACGGGTGAATTCATGCGAGGACCCGAAGCCTTAAACAGTGGATGCGCAAAAGTTAGATCTTTACAGCATCTTCAAACATGGCAAATGATTGTTTTAATCTTTTTGTATCGATTTTTGTAAGCTTTAGCATCTACGATTTAAAAGAAAACACCCAAAATTACAATTCTAAGAAGAGAAGTGGAGCTTTATTTCAGTCTGATAACTCACCGTGAATGAGTAAGTTTTTTTTGGTCGCCTCTTCCAATGCTGTCAACAGCGGCTACGATCAAAGTGAGCGTTGTTTATCTGCAGTGTTCTTTGCCTTGTTAACTTGGTGGCACGTACAATTTTCGAAAATATTTGCCTTTCTTTTTTCTTGATAAATTAACTTGTATTAATAGGCAAAATTGGTCTTGCGAGAAAATCCCGAATTCACAAAACAGTGACAAAGCGACCTCGTTTTCCTCCGTAGTGGTAAACATAGCTTCGAACGTACAAAAAGTCAGCTACAGTAAACAACTTCAAAATACATCATGCTGTTTACACACCATGTGTTTCCTTACCTTCAAAGCCATCAACACTAGGATATTCTTGTATTTTCAAAAAGTTCTCACTATGAAACTTTGGCAAAATACCCAGTTCACGACAGCGATTTTGTTCTGCTTTATATTCACCGCCTGCGAACCAATCAGATTGCTTGAATCACCAAGATGACTGAGTGTGTATACACCGATTTAAAAAAAAAAGGTTGTCGGAGAGAACGGCGAATGGCAATTGTCGAACGGAGATTGCACGACCGAAAGGAACTGTGGGTTTGAATATTGATGGTAAATAATCAACTATCTAAGCTGGTCAATGATGCCAGCTCCATTTAGTGAGCACCTTCGATGGCGCGTTATATGTGTAATAACACAGCGAGCCACACGTTCAAGCGGTTACTGAACAGACATTTTAATCTCTATCAAGTGCCCTGAAGGTACAAACGAAACTGAATATATAATGAGTCTAGCAGCACGTGCAAATGAAATTCAACACAGGGCGCGAAAATTACAATATTATAACAGTCTTCCTTTTATAGAGAAATAAGAAAACAACTTAACGAAAAAAAAGAACGTGAAACCAAAACAAACGACTAAGCACATCTTAATGAAATTTAGTTCTTTGGAAAGAGTTCTTAGGCTTAAGGTGACTCGACCCAGTTTTTTGGGGGGGTACCATCCTACTTTGAAGCTCTCTGGTATCCCCATCTTTACTTTTACCGGAAGTCTAACACATGGATTGGATAACATATAGATCAATCTACAATACAACATAAAATTTTTGGCGATCGGAGTAAATGTCACGTGGTTATAATGCCACGCCCCTTTGAGGTCTGAGTCGAAAATCTGCTGTTGCCGGCGTTTTTTCGTGAAAATCTCTCGGCTACACATAGTGCACATTAGTGCCTTGCGCTGGACAGAGTTTCGACAAAATCACAAAGACCCAATTCGAGAAATTCAGCGGTTTCAAAATTGAGGTCATAATTTATGCGAAAATGATAAGCAAACCTTACACGATTATATCTAATAAACTATGAGACTGATCCCTTTATTTTGGGGATCGTTATAACAGATGGGTCCTTGCAAGTCAGCAAAAAGCTTTAGGGTCTTGTAAATGCGCGCGATTTCGAGCAAAGCAAACATATACAAATTATAGTTTTCGCTATTTGTTGACGTTTGTCAGCGTTTGAGAGTCCTTCTCACGAAAAAAGCATTTTCTTCAAAATTCGTAGTTTTTTTTTCTTCAAATTTTTTCAGGGCCACGGTTGATTAACTAACTACCCGGACTATGAATTTCATTGAAAAACTGGTCATTGGAAAAAAATTGGTCATTGAAAAACTGTGACATTATCTTCTATAAGCCCAAACTTTAGTAAACATTGAACATTTTCAGCGTTTTGGCCGAGATTGTGCTTTGGGAATTTTCTATTGTTTTTAGTCTGTCATTATACAGCATTCTTGTTCAGCACGCGTGCAATGACCACGCTTGGTTGACTTCCGAATGCTCACCGAATATGATAATTAGAATGAAAAAATAGAAGGGATTCCCGTCACGCAACGTCACCAACCAGCTGAGTGTGCATCATGCCGAGAATTAAAAACTCTAGAAAGAAAATGGCTGGGGTGCTGAATGCTATGCGAGTGAGAAAAGAGGTTCGTACGGCCTGAGACGGGCGATCGCGTGATACATAGAAGTTAAACTCATGATTTTTAATCAATTCTTGTGCGTCTTGTGCCTCTGCAAAAAAATTAAATCAAGAAATGCTACACACTAAATCTACTTACAATTGAAAAATATGATTTTACATGGGTTTAATGCTAGCCAATAATTAAACCAACTCATTATTTATCCGTTAGCGGGTAGCGAAAAAATTAACTACACTTGTAAGAACTGTTAGTTTTTTTGTGACTCTTGGTTTCGAGCTCGTTTTGCTTGGACGTAAAGCTAAAATTGTTAGCAAGGCTCCTGAACCTCCTGCATTATACAAACTGTTGAGGGTGTTCATGTCTAGGCCGGCCTTGCTTATTTTGTCCTTCATGACATCGGAAATGCCCAGCCTGTGTAGGGTAGACTTTCTTCCTTTGGCAACAGCTTTCATAGCCATGTCTTCACAAAAAGTATTTGCTTAACTAGCCAACGCTACCATCCCTTCCAGAGTCTGTTGCAACTTGTTACTGTGTAGGACTCTTCCGAGTGCAACCACGTCCTCTAGGGAATCATGGGCGTTAAATTGCTCGCCGAACAATTTCTCGTACACTGTAGCAAGAGATTTCCCCTTGCACTCCTTTAGATGACTTCCCCGCACCTTTTTTTCTTCTGTGATTACTTCCAGTGAATCCAAAAGCATCGGCCTGCACTCTAGAAACTGCTTAAGTAGACCCTGTCCTTTCATCGAACGTAGCAAAATGGGGAAGTCAAACCGATTACCGTTGTGGGCAACAAGAACAACCCGCGTCTCACTTCCAACCTCTTTTATGAAGCTAAGAAAATCCCCCAATCCCTGAACTTGTGACACAGCTGGCAACTGGTTACCATTTTTGTGCAATTGCTTCGCCCCATTTTGATATCTTACAGACACTCCGTGAATCTTGGTCGCACTTTCCGATATCATTTTCTTGTCTGGAAGCAGATACTGGTTAAACGGCGCCTTCCCCTGAACTAAGCACGACAGTTGAATTATCTCGCACTCCATACCAAGCCCCGTTGTTTCTGTATCACATATAGCAAGCACAAAAGGGCCATTCGGTGTCCCCGTCTCCTCCTGAAAACATATAACAGTCAAAGAATTAGATTCAACATCGGGCGTCAACGACGGGGTTTCGGGCGCGCACCCACATCCCCTCCCCAAAGGAGTATAACCACGTGTATTTCAAGTGCCTGCGCTTTATTTTGGAGTTTTTGAGCATCGGAAGTCTATTAGGGACAACAAATCACAATTTATTACCCCTTTGAACAGCTCTGGTGATACCTATGGATAAATTCGATAAAGGGTGTACCCGCTATAAGTACCTCGTTTTCTGTACTCTCTTGTAGGCTCGCTATGCTCACATAGTCATCGAATTCCTTGTCCGTAATAGTCGATCGTAGATCATTCAAAGTACCATTCGTGATTGTCAATCTGTCAGCCTCACTTTGCGTTAGTCCTACACCGCTCTCATAGGTCACGCCCTCGTTATGTTCCAATGATCGGGTCTTTTGGGTTTCCTTTTTCTTCGCACTTCTCCTAGCTCGCTTAAACGCCTTGGTTGACTGCCTTAGACTATTTCTATCTTTCTTCTTGTCCATCACCTTGGTGTGCTTTTCAGTCACAGCATTGCCTGCTACACCCATTAGTTGGGTTAACATATTAACATATATGGGTTATTACCCATTAGTTGGGTTAACATATCCATACCCTTCATTGAATTGCGAAATTGCTGCCGCCGTGCGGAAATCGCTACTCTCAGATCCACCGTAGTGACGAATTTTCGGTGCTTTCGTACCAATCAAACTGTTGACGCATTCGTTTCGCTGGCTGGACCAACATGGAGCAAGCTTTTTGGCTGCCTCTTCAGTGAGAAAAGGTTTCATAGCATCCTCGATACTAGCTCGCAGATCGTCTCCCTACAATGACACAATTTTCCATTATCCAAGCGACACCAAAACACTTTGAAAAAAGCAAGAATGCCTGTCGACCAAGATGCTTTGCGGCCGAGGTTTTGATTTTCGTATCATACGGACATATTTTGGTGAATTGCCTTTATCTAACAATATTGCGCGAAGTTTGCTAAGTATAGTTTTTCTGCTAATTATTCAAAGATTTATTCTAGTGCAATTTTCACATTTTGTGAGTTAAAGCATCTCGACCGCAAAGCATGCCTTTCGACAATCTGATTGGCTCCCATACTCGCTATCTATTCCGTGATAGATGTTCAGTAGAACTTTTATAGGCCGTCCCACGGTATATACCGGTAACGTATCTTTTGTAGAGCTCATCTACTATTCTCTGGCTATAGTGCTCTTGTCTTGAAAAGTGTAGAATGTACGAAAACCAACTCGAACACCCCTCGCTCCTGGTAACAGGTAGCAGCGTTCCATTGTGAATTTACCTGAAGATCTCTTCCACCAGGAAGGTCGCCATGACTGTAGTTTTCTGGGTCCTGCTTGTATGTACACCATTCTTTGCAAAGAGTGTGTTCTCCGAACGCGTGTGGCACTATCGACTTCAGCCCCTCCAACAAAGATGACTCCTTTCCCTTGTTCTGTCTTATGCAATACGTGAAGCATCTTTTCATATATCCAATAACTGCTGGGCTGAGACCCTTCACTTTGGACTTGACAGCATACAGTCTGGAACCCAACGTGCGGCTTGCGTGATTGATGTCGCTCCATTTTTCTATGTCATAGGCTACCAATGACTGCAACCGATTCTCTGTTGTGCTATCATCATCACCAACGTACGTCGAGTAACGTACGCCACCTTCGACTGCATCACCAAATAGCTGCACTGCAACGGTGGGCTCCCTGTTGTTAGCAACAGCCTCTTGACACACTCGTCATAAGGTATTCCGCGTGGCATAGCTGATCACTTTTCCCGTCTTTAGCCCCACTGCAGTCCCCACTCCGGATGAGGAATCATAGCTCTTGCCACGCTTTCTCCATCCCATGTCGTAGGACACGCCCACTGCCACTGGCCCTTCTCCTTGACCGTCATTCTCTGAGAGGTCCCTTTCCATCTCCGTAAACGCGGCACACGACCGCTTGGCCACACTCTCAATGGCACTTCCAGCTTCTCGTTCTCGTTTCTTGAAGTTTCGCGAAGTCAGTGAGGGAAGACCAAGGGCAGACATCAAACCAGAGTATTGTGGATGGCCGATTCCGGTATGCAAGGCCCCGGGACCTGCTCTGGAATTTATGTCAAGAGTCGCTGACCCCCGTTTGCCAGTTCGGTGGCTCTATACAGGGCGGATACTGTTGATGGAGCAACAATTACTGCATTTTACTTTTAAAATAGGTATCGGTCCTTCCGGTGGCACGGCTTGGCAACTGTTGGCTGGTCCTAACGGCCCCTTATCACAATATTGACATTTCTCAAGCGCTTCCGTAAGCATTTCCAGGTTGACAATATATTCTTGGCTATCGTTCCCTATTTTCTTATACGGCGGGTCCGAACGTAAAATAGGTCTCGTGGGCGATAAAACTGACGCCTTGCATCGTTTTTCGGTTGCAGCTAGTTTACTGGCTCTCATCTTTTCACATTTTTCCTCATATTGTCTCCTCTTCTTTCTTTTTATCTTACTACTCTCTCTCGCTGCCCTCTCTGGGGGACTCTCCCGATGGAAAAATACAAAGTCCGCAATATTAGGACGTCCTATCATGATGTCAATGATATTTAAATCAAGCTCAATAATGTTCAAATAACTCTTAAAATAATGGAAACTTACGAACCTGAAGCACAATCTCTTCTCCGTGAACCTCTTTTCTCACTTGCATAGCATTCAGCACCCCAGCCATTTTCTTTCTAGAGTTTTTAATTCTCGGCATGCTGCACACTAAGCTGGTTGGAGACGTTGCGTGACGGGAATCCCTTCTATTTTTTCATTCTAATTATCATATTCGGTGAGCATTCGGAAGTCAACCAAGCGTGGTCATTGCACGCGTGGTGAACAAGAATGCTGTATAATGACAGACTAAAAACAATAGACAATTCCCAAAGCACAATCTTGGCCAAAACGCTGAAAATGTTCAATGTTTACTAAAGTTTGGGCTTATAGAAGAAAATGTCACAGTTTTTCAATGACCATGAAATTCATAGTCCGAGTAGTTAGTTAATCAATCGTGGCCCTGAAAAAATTTGAAGAAAAAAAAACTACGAATTTTGAAGAAAATGCTTTTTTTGTGAGAAGGAATCTCAAACGCTGACAAACGTCAACAAATAGAGAAAACTATAATTTGTATATGTTTGCTTTGCTCGAAATCGCGCGCATTTACAAGGCCCTAAAGCTTTTCGCTGACTTGCAAGGACCCATCTGTTATAACGATCCCCAAAATAAAGGGATCAGTCTCATAGTTTATTAGATATAATCATGTAATGTTTGCTTATCATTTTCGCATAAATTATGACCTCAATTTTGAAACCGCTGAATTTCTCGAATTGGGTCTTTGCGATTTTGTCGAAACTCTGTCCAGCGCAAGGCACTAATGCGCACTATGTGTAGCCGAGAGATTTTCACGAAAAAACGCCGGCAACAGCAGATTTTCGACTCAGACCTCAAAGGGGCGTGGCATTATAACCACGTGACATTTACTCCGATCGTCAAAAATTTTATGTTGTATCGTAGATTGATCTATATGTTATCCAATCCATGTGTTAGACTTACGATAAAAGTAAAGATGGGGATACCAGAGAGTTTCAAAGTAGGATGGTACCCCCCCAAAAAAACTGGGTCGAGTCACCTTAAGTAAGCACATAGTCCTGTAGACGCTTTGGCGGCTGACGGACGCGCGTGGACCTTCTCGGTGCCTGTAAAGGATTGGGCGACTTAGGTGCTTCCGGCACCGAAGACAACGGATCGCGCGGCTGGTCGAATGTTTCCATGCGTGTATCTGGAGGTGCCTGTTCGCGTGTATCTTCGCGTGCCTCTGTGGATGACTGCTCGACGTCGTCATCTTCAACTTTGATAGGCGCTTCACTTGACTTGCGTAGCTCAACACGATTTTGTCGAAAGAGTCCTTGAGGCAGCTCAACCTCGTAAGATCTTTTGTCAATGCGACTCTTTACTAGACCTTTTTGCCACTTTTTTTCCCTGCGCGCCAGGGCTCAACTCGCACGGTATCTCCGGGCTCTAAGGGCTGGAGGTCTCGTGCGCCTCTGTTGTAGTACTTGGTTTGTTGCTGTTGGCGGCGATGAAGCTTGGTGTGTGTCACGTCCTCGTCTGAAACAGATGGCTTTAATAATGTAGCAGTCATCGGGAGGAGACTTCTTGTCCTTCTGCTAAATAGCCGCTGTGCTGGACTGATTTGCATACTCGCAGGCGCTGTGTTTTTGTGGTGCATTAAAGCAAGAAACGCGTCTGAACCAGTCTTGTTGCACTTTAACAGAAGTTTCTTCGCTTGCTTAACGGCGCTCTCACCCTTTCCTTTCGACTGACTATGATACGGACTGCTGGTTCTGTGCTCAAAATCCCACTCTTTAGAGAATTTCAGGAAATCGCGCGAGACGAACTGTGGCCCGTTATCAGTGACGAGTTGCTCGGGAATGCCATGTCTCGCGAAATGACCCTTAAGCTTCTTGATGACGTAGACAGAGGATGTACTTCTCAGATGGTCGAGCTCGAAGAAATCGCTAAAATAGTCCACAGTCACAAGGTAACTTTTTCCATTTAACTCAAATAGGTCTGCTGGAACGAACTGCCACGGTCGACTAGGTACTTCGTGGTTGGTGAGTGTTTCCTTCCTTTGACTCTGTTCGTACTCTCTGCAGGCTTCACATGTTGACACATAGTTCTTGATATCTGCTGTCATCCCAGGCCAATGAAGACACTCACGCGCTCTGTTAAGGCAACCATTAACTCCAAGGTGCGAATTGTGAATACTTTTTAGGAGACCACTCCTAGCAGCCTTGGGTACCACTACCCTTTCTCCCTTAAAAATCAAACCATCCTGAACGGACAGCTCATGTCTCATATTGAAGTAAGGAGAGGCTAGAAGCGGCAGGGTACTCTTATTTTCAGGCCAGCCATGCTGAATCACTGCCTTTAGAACTTGAAGTGATTCATCCTGCTCTGTCTCCCACTGAATTTGCAGTAGCCTGGCTTCAGATATTGGCAAGTAATTCATCATGTTGATTGTCTCAAACTCTGACTCAATCTGCACACTCGAGGGAAGATAAGCTCTAGAGAGAGTGTCCGCTAAGAACATTCTGCTTCCCCTCTCGTACTGTACCACCAAATCGTACTTTTGCAAACGGATCAACATTCTTTGCAACCTCTTAGGAGTGCGATGAAGTGGTTTCATGAAAATTGACTCAAGTGGCTTATGATCAGTATGGACACCAGTTCTTCTACCGAAGGTAAAGTCATTATACTTCTCTACTGAAAACACGATTACCAACATCTCCTCTTCAATCTGCGCTTAGCGAGATTCCGTCTCTGTTAAGGCTCTACTAGCGTACGCGATTGGGTGACCATTCTGCATTAAAGCTGCACCTAAACCACTCTGGCTGCTATCACACTGGATCTCAAGCACTTCAGTGGGCTTGTAGTAGGCTAGAACGGGTGCTGATGCAATCAATGTCTTGACATCATTCCAAGCCTTCTCTTGCAAATCATCCCAACACCATGCTGCGTCTTTATAAGTAAGATCTC